CGTCCATCTGTATGATTATTTCGAAAACTTGAGCTAGAAACTGCCAATCTAGTTTGCTTGACCTAACCAATATTTATGTATCTGCATGTTCTTTCACCTGATAGTTTTGAAGCTCTAAGATTTGGAAAAAATCCATAAAACTTAAGTATGTTTTTCTATCAAATAAAGTTTCGAACCAAAATTAGAGATGTTATATCACAGGTATTTCTTAATGGATTGCTTTGAAATTTGGTATATGAAGTAAGAGCCCAGTAGATCACATCCACCAAAAATATGTGATAGTTTGGATTACCAAAGTCTGACATACAGAAGGTGGAAAATTAAACTATCACTCCTATCAAGAACACACACTGTGTCCTACAGCTGGTTATTTTGGTCGCATGACATCATGATTTTCCATTTAACTATTTTTTTAAATCTAATCTACATCATAATACTCGGATACTGGTTATGTGTCATTCCCTTGGCCTTGCCGATTCTCATCTGTGATTTTAGAAGACAAATTAATATTAAAGTGACAGTAATCATAAGCCAGGTTTTAGCCTAATAGATTGAGCACACAGGACTTCCTAGTAACTTGTTACATTTACTCATGACATGCAATAATACCCCATTTATAATCTTACCAAATACGTTACTAAACGTAACGAAAGTTACCTGTCTTATCTGTTCTGCCGTGATGGGGTTTCCATGCCTGTCAAGAGCCCCTTCAGCAATTATAATGGTGTTCAGTCTCTGACCCAAATCTCGTTCCTACACAAGAATTCAAAATATAAATTTTAACTAGCTGTAATAAAGCTAACAGTTCTTAAGCTAAATTTTCCTACAACAGCAAGTAAGTTTCTTTTTGGAAACACACACTTCTATTTTCTACAAAACCTTTGGTAGACAAAACGGTAAAGTTCATCCAATTCAAATTTTAAATAAAATTAAAGTTAGACCTAAAATTTACACATTACATTTGACATTCTTTTTTTTTTCTTTCTAGTTTCATATCTCGTAACTGTGGTTAAGTTGGAATATTCATTACATTTATCTTCAAAACATTTCAGTTTTCAATTTTCATGGAGAGCTTCAGAGTTTTATGTGAAACAAAAATTAATCTCTCCATTTACCTGAAAGAAAAAAGAAAATTAATGTTTTCTGAAAATATCTATACCGTAGTCGTTACCTGTTTCAATTTTTTACACAGTATGTCAGGCCAGTCCTTCTCAGGAGGCCATTCTGGGATAAAGACAAAGTCTGCTTCACTCGCTAAAGCTGCTACCAGGGCAAGGTACCTGTAAAATTAGAAACACATGCATACAAACTGTTGTTACAATAAGTGTTTTCATTAAAAAATAAAATTAGTCTTGAACTTAAAAAGTTAAAATTGTACTTTTTTTGCAATAAAAAATGGAACAAGGCTCAAAGTTTATATTTTGTAAATGAAACTACTCTAAGGAAATCCATAAAGTCCAGAATTATGAATCTTTGTTTACTCTTTGGAGATATAAATTTATCAAGATATTTCAAAAAGCAGTTTGTTCAGTAGAGAAAATTCCCTCCTGAAAATTAGCTTTGGCTGAATAAATTTAGAGGTCATCTCAATCGATTTCAATTGTTGTTTACTTTGATACGTACTAAAGTTTGCAGAAAAATTTCCTCCTCAAAATTAGCTTTGGCTAAATAAATTTAGAGGTCATCTCAATCGATTTCAATTGTTGTTTACTTTGATACGTACTAAAGTTTGCAGAAAAATTTCCTCCTCAAAATTAGCTTTGGCTGAATAAATTTAGAGCTCATCTCAATCAATTTCAATTGTTGTTTACTTTGATACGTACTAAAGCTTGCAGAAAAATTTCCTCCTCAAAATTAGCTTTGACTGACTAAATTCAGACATTCTTCTAGACTCTTGATTTTAAGTTCTGATACTGCAGTATTCAACTAGTTACCAACAAGTACTGGATACGGTTCCTGCTCATTCAATAGAAAAGTTCACAAAACTGAAGAAAGAGGTAATTAATTCATGCTACTTTTAATGGTACATATTTTTTGTATATTAAGAAGATTTAAAGAGCTACTCTCTTCCCAAATAATCATTCCCACTATTACTTTAACATCCGAATTACAGTAAAACAAAACTTAATAATTATCAATGTAACACTTTAACCAAATATAACATCTAGAAAACAATGACTCACCCAGGGATGAGTAAATATAAAAACAGTCAATTACATGGGTATTTGTTATCTCGCAGGAAAGTGAAATAAACGGCACACACAAAGAAATATTTGCAGTGCAAATATTTAGTAAAATTTCTACAAAAAAAAAAGAAAATAACTTACCCACAATGTCTTCCCATAACTTCCAGGATAAATGTTCTTTGATGACTAGAATATTTGGACAAAAAACAAACTTGTTTTAACTGTGAAGCACTTGTAATAAGAGGAAAAATTAAGAAAAAAAAGATTCCTCTAATTAGTTGTTGTTTCCTCAGTGCAAGGCTATATAACAGGTTACCTGCACTCTGTCCACTACGAGGGAATTGATCCCTGGATTTTTAAGATTACAAGAATATTTATTGTTACAGGAAAATATAATGTGTTTTTAAAGAAGAATAAAAAAATAGCTGGTTTGAAAATTTTACCAATGTACAAGTTGCCACAGATTTAGAAAGAGTAACAAATATGTTAAGAAATTTATTTGTTGGTTGTTTTACCATTGTTAGTTAGCTGCTATGAAAAGACAAGATGGATTCCGTTAACTTCACAATTTATGAATAGAATGACGATGAACATGTGGTTGGTTCTCAAAGAGTATTGTTGTGGGTTTTGTTTAGTTTTGCAGGATAGCCATTAGTGTACAAAGTGTTTCTGGGATGCCTATTTATTATGGGAGAACATTATTTTGGTGTGTTAACGAACAGAATTTGGTTGCCTTTCTGAATAACCTCCTTACAGTTTCTATCTTAACTTTCTCAGGATAGATGGATCAGTAATGATTACATTTGTCTGTCCAAGTATCCTGGTGTTGAGTTTATCAACTAAGAAAGTATTTAGTGCTGTATATTAAACTTCCAATTCATAACATTCCCTGCTGTTTACTATAGAAATTGTTACCTAGAGTAAGACTTATGGTCTGTTCATGAAAAAATCTTCGGGTTGCGTACAAGTTCTCAGATCCACAGTTAAAGTGTCACACATATTTCAGTTTACTGAAGAACACAACATAACCGAAAAGATGATGTCAGAAGTGATTTCTTCCACAAAACTGATTGAAATATGCAACAGTTTCATAATGATCTTCAAGTGAGAAAATTATTACAAACTTAATTTTATGACCTGGCAAAATGATAATACTAAGGGAGCAGTGTGTTTTAGAGCACAACTGGTAATTCACAAAGTTGTAAAACACAACGGGTTTTTATAGGTCTCACAACTTCCAAGGTTTTAAACAAGATTTTGTTTGTTTTACCAGAGACAGCAAAATTTTTGTAACTCGTTTTGATTGTTTTAGTGGCACTTAAATATAATTAAATTATTAATTGTGCTTACCACCAAGAAAATAATTTAAAATGTCTGCTTAAAAATACAACCCACTTTAACTCAGTGCTGAAGATGATGAAATAAAAAAGCTTCTTTTTGTTTTTTTTGTAATTTAATGAAAAATCTTGGTTTACTAGAGAAAAATTATAAATCTCAACTTGGGACTACAAGTTTTTGTAAATAGCAATATTTCTATTTAAATGAAAAAACTTATTGTTATGTGAGCATTGTGTGTATCAGAGCCATCTATTGATATCATAAACTTTAAAACCAAAACTATTAATCACCCAGGAGGGCAAAATAATGTTGCTAATAAAAGACAACAACCTTTAAAGTTTTAATTATCTGTTGCATTATCATAACACATTTTTTAGTTCTTTTATCACAAATGGATGCTTTAAAATCCTGGCATACTAGTTTGATTAGCAAAAAAAACTAGTAAAAAAAAGCACGGATTCAGACTTCAAGGTGTGGTTACTTCATCAATGATTTGGTTTAAACAGGACATCCTAATGAAGGACTAAAGCCAAACCTATGATATTTGTTATGGTTTACTATGATAAGTACATCACGTAACTCAGTACACTGTACAAGTTTTAAGTAGCAAATCTATTATAAGTACTCCATGTAACTCAGTGTATTGGTCAAGTTTTAAGTAGAAAAATTGAACTACACAAAATACAATTAAAGTGAATGACTAGGAAAATACACTTGACCATAGCTTTATTTAAATTTAGTAAGACCATTTTGGAAACTTAGGTTACACAAAGAAAAAAATACAATTACAAAAAATGAAACTATAAATAGTAACAACTTAGTAACAAAATAGTACCTCAATCTTATAAACATAAAATCACCTAACACCAAACTTTCCGTACCTTGAAGCAGTAGTGACAATAGCATCAATAGCTTCCATAATTCTATGGAGAGCCGAGTCTGTCCCAATGGTCATATCGGTACCACAAAAATCATTGTCTATGGAGCCAACCATGCCCACAATGTTCAAGCTGCTACACTCAGCTCGCTTGGATGGTGTTATCTCACCTGTAAGCATAACAGGAAATTTACTCAAGAGCACACCAAAACACAGATGCTAAGACAGAGAAAAAAACTAGACTTATGCAATAACAAAGATATACATGTACCCATCAGCCAACATTTCTTTAAACCTTCTGGACTCTTTATTCATTAAAGATCGTCACTAAAGAGACAAATACAGAAGTCCCTAAGCATCCAAGGTATCATATACCCAAATATATGTCCAAACCAGATGATTCAAACCTTTTTCATCCTTTGTACCAAACTGTACTCGCCAGAAATTTTAAACGCCAATTCATTGATACATCCTACATTTATTAACACATGCCATCTCACCTACAGTATTTGGACAGCAGAATTATTCTGAGCTTCTGGTGAAAGTTGATCATGCTTAATTTTTTTCGAAAGAGACATAGCACTATTGGCTCACATGGTTTAGACTTGTAATTTATTCTAGACAGGTTATCAAAGCACTTACCATCTTTCCTGCATCTTCCCATCTTAAAACTTCCCCATTTTTCTAAACCACTAACATCAATCTTAACATGCAAGAAGTTTTCCAAGCTCCTTTGAATGATATTTTCCTCTTGTCATCATACTTTTTGGGTCATGATGATGTATCAGCATTAGATGTCTGAGATTTAGACTTGTCATTATCAGTGTCATGATTGTTATTGGCGTAACTGGGATGGTGTGATTTAGTTTGTTTGTGATAAACCCACAGTAACACTTGTTTCTGTCTGATCGTCTTTATCTTCCGATTGTATATTACTACTTGCTATTTTGTGTCGTTTTTTTTTTTATAGCAAAGCCACATCGGACTATCTGCTGTGTCCACCGAGGGGAATCGAATCCCTGATTTTAGCACCGGGGAACATGCTAGTTTGGTACTGCTACTAAACAATATCTCCATAAATCACTCTGTGAAGCTTTTGTTTTGATGGTTTTAAGAGACATATTGCATAATATCAGCATGCCATCATCTGATTAAGCATTACTTTCACCAATTCTCGAATGTGCACAGTGAAAACCATTAATTATTTAGTTAATTTTTACTGTAATTCATCAAAATCGTGTTTGTTTGTAAGGATGTTTCAACTTTTCAGTGACACAAACCATTCAATAATTTCTACTCTTATTTTCAGTCGGTGTCAGTGTTTATTGTTAAACATAACAGAAGTTAAAAACTTGAAGTAAATGAATTAGATAATTAAACTTTGAAATGTAAACTGTAAATTTAAAAAAAAAGATAAACTTAGTGATGAATAAAAAAATAAGCCTGGCATATATGTGATCACATGCTTGGTTAATGTGATGTAGTCATACTTCAAGATATGATTATAATTGTAAATATGAATAATCTTCTAATCTTGCAATAATACAACAAACAAAATATTTAAGTAGGAAAATAAAACAATAAAAAGTAGAAAATCAAAATTAACCCTAGAACTTTATTAAAAAAAAAAGGACTGTACCAAGTGCACTCCAGAAATCGCCAGTAAAGGAACTTGTTTCTATTTTTGCAAATTACTACTAATGGCAGCAGAACATTACACGTTTTCATTAAGATCAAGTTTTTCTTCCTTTTCTTGACATTAGTTTGTCTTCTAATACTTATCTGATTATTTGAAAAACTGGTTTTACCTTTACATGAGACCTGGAAATAATGTCAATATGGCAAGCTCTCTATTAAAAAAAATTAGACTTCTGTTGAAAAAAAACCTAATATATGAAGTTTGAAATTTTTACTCGATCAGGTAGACATGTATGTTTGATAATATAATTATTCTCCAGTAAAACCTGCTTGCTCTGGATGTGTGGAGGGATGATTTTCCAAGTTATGCCATTAGTCTCATAATCCTCAGTTTTTCACTTTTTAATCAGAAAATAACTGTCAAATAAACTACAATCTAAAATTTCAATTGGAAAAAAAGTAAATCAAATACATTAGATGTATTATTGTTCCAAAGTCTAAAGAAACAAAGATCTCTACTGATCTTTTTCCATTACCATCCTGATCAGACATTATAAAAAATTAAATACTGTTCTTAAATAACTTACCTTGCTCAACCAGCTCATCAAGCAGAGAACCCCACTCTTGGCGAAAAAGGTTAGCACCTGTTAAACTACCATCACCACCAATGACCACAAGGTTAGTAATTCCATGCCTCACCAGGTTTGCAGCAGCCTTCAACCGACCTGATCTCTCACGAAATTCTTTACATCGAGCACTTCCGATTACTGTTCCACCCTGATAATTATACATAGATATACAATAATACAAATTAAAACTATAGAGGTAAAATACACCACCAAAATTATACACAAGTATACAATAATACAAATTAAAACTACAAAGGTAAAATACACCATAAAAATTATACACAAGTATACAATAATACAAATGATAACAACAGAGGAAAAATATTCCTACCAAGTTTCACCGAGGAGAAAAAATAAACACAAATTTTGGTTAGTCCAAAAGGGTGTAATTATTGTTTCTTATTAAAGATACATAAGGGTGTAATTATTGTTTCGTGTTCAAGAAACATAAGAGTGTAATCATTGTTTCGTGTTCAAGATACATAAGAGTGTAATCATTGTTTCGTGTTCAAGATACATAAGGGTGTAATCATTGTTTTGTGTTCAAGATACATAAGGGTGTAATCATTGTTTCATGTTCAAAATACATAAGGTTGTAATTATTGTTTCATGTTCAAGAAACACAAGTGTGTAATTATTGTTTCATATTAAAGATACACAAGAGTGTAATTATTGTTTCATATTAAAGATACACAAGAGTGTAATTATTGTTTCATATTAAAGATAGATAAGGGTGTAATTATTGTTTCATGTTAAAGATACACAAGGGTGTAATTATTGTTTCATATTAAAGATACACAAGAGTGTAATTATTGTTTCATGTTAAAGATACATAAGGGTGTAATTATTGTTTCATATTAAAGATACATAAGGGTGTAATTATTGTTTCATGTTAAAGATACATAAGGGTGTAATTATTGTTTCATATTAAAGATACACAAGAGTGTAATTATTGTTTCA